TCCAGAGGTTCGCTCGGGGTAATTGCACCGTCAAAGCCTCGCCGAGAGAGGAAAAGGAGAGCTTCTGACATTCTTAGGATTCCCTCCCGGTCGACAGTGCCATTCCCGTTGTCATCATACAGATCAAAAAAGTAGTTGATATTGTTCATAATGTCACGGGGTCCCTTGAGGCGTGCAAGTCCATTGACCACATTTTGTAGGCTGAGACCCTCGGATGGCTCTGTGGACCACTTCTGGAAGAGTCGCTGCATGAATTCGTGGTCCGCTGGCTCCGATTTGTTGTTCCACGCCAGAGACTTCCCAAATCCTCTGAAGCTACTGGCGTTCTGTTCAACATTCGACTCCTTCCGTGAAGACCCCGGGGTGTCTCCTACGGCCCACTTTGCAGTAGCCGCGAGAAAGTCGCGGAAAGCATCGTAATCCATATGAGTGGGACTGGGCCCGAGACCTACACGGCCAACTTCTCGGTCCACTGGAGGTCCCAGGATGGAGGTGCGTTCAACTCTCTTCCTTTGTTGGCGCTTCTTCTCTTCGTCCAGAAGTCTTTGCCGCTGCTGATGCTCATAAAGAACCTCGTAGAATCGGTCATAGATCACGCCCAAATCATCCATGCTGAGCTTCTTGCTGTCTGGGCCCAGGTTCCGAATGGACGTGCGTTTGGCAAAGCTCTCAATATTCTCCAAAACGGCATCTTTGTGCTTCTCACGCTCATCCGTAATCGTCTGGTGGGTAATTCCTGAGAACTCCTTGAAAGCGACTACCATTAGTTCCTGGAACCGGGTGATAGCCCTCAATTTGGGATTCTCGGATCTAGGGTGCGCCGATTCGTCCAGACGAGAGAAGTACGACTTGAGGACTGATATGAAAGACCCGTCATCCTGTATGTCGAGAAGCTCCTCACCATTGATACGAAGGATGGCTAACCCAACTTGAAAGAGAACCTTCGGACCTTCCAGGAAAAATACATCCAACACCCGGAAAGCGAAAACCAAAGGCATGGAGTTGATGTAGAGAGAGAGAAACCATGGGAGTGATACAACGGAAAGCTGGACATCAGATTTGGTGAGATGGTCCCAAAGGACCGGCATGGTTTTCTCGACGAGGGACTCAAACACCTTTTGATCGAGCAATGTCCCATACATAGTCGTCGAGTAGTACCCTGGCAATAGACGGTCACACAAAACGGACAAGAGGAAAAAGGCTTGCGCCTCGGACATGTAACTAATGGAGTTAGCGATGACTTAAGGAGGTGACGACGAGGTGTTATACATTAACAGGGCCGCGACAACGATATTCATAGCCTGACAATACCCAATCTCCGCATTGGTCCAACTGTAGGCTGTCAGGACTCTACGAAGTCGTCCTATGCCTTCCTCGCTTTGATACCCAGCATATTCAGGCAAACTCCGGTTCAAGTCTTTTTCAATCTCATCGATAGCCAAGGATTCTCTCCCAGAGAACTTCGAAAGAGTCTCTGTATATGAATTTGGCGACCTGAGGCGGAGGTACAGAGATCCGGACGACAGCTCCCAGATTTCACCGCGGAGGCGGTTCGGAAGCCCAACCCGAATCAGCTTATGAAATGTGGGTTGTCGAATCAGAGTTGCGTTGCGGCCATTTTCTACAGGACACTTTAATATACGGTTTGCATGGGGGCAAAGCCGAGCCTAGGATATCATACCTCTGAAATATTCCCCCCATAATCTCATTTTACTTCTGTCCCGGAGCTTGCGCGCATCTCCAGGGTAGCGAAAGATCATCCCTAGGCCGGCATCTGGCGGCTGACGCACCTCTGCATTATCACTGTCCTGAGCCTTGGACTTGGCACCAGACAGCAAGTACTCCGAATAACAATCATTTACGACTACCCGCAAATTCTCGATTTCTTTCATGCATTCTCGTAATCCCTTCTTCAGCCCATCGCAGAATCGTTCACAGGCCTGCCTGCTCCCGACCAGCTGAATCGTAAATCGTTGGGGAATAAAGCCGGGGCTCTGTTGCTTCCCCAGCGCACCATTCCATGTTGTGAGAGCGAGCGAAAACACATGACTCAAGCTATTCAACCGTTCCACTCGCCGGACGCAACAAAGGGGGAGGGTAAACCCATTACCGAACGGCCCAGTCCCATTCGTTTGACCAGCCCAATGAGTTGAAGCGCTATGAGTCGCGGAAGGTGCGAAGCTGGTGGGTTGAGTAGTAAAGCAGATAAACCGTTCACTCAAATGCAGTCGGCCGGCATAGCGATTCCCAGCACGGTCAATGTTGCGAGGTTGATCTCCGGAGGATGTGGAAGACGAGGTATGTGGGATAGGAAGGATCAGTTCGGCAGTTATCTCTTGTAGGGGATTCTGAGAATCCGGAAGTCGAAATTGCTGGCGAAACAGGGAGGCTTTCGAAGGGTTGCGATCGGTGGAAGTGAGCGTGGGGAGAGTGAAGTTGGCCGGGTCGATCAATGACTGGGCTTTTTGAACGAAAGACGTCCACTGCATCATGATGCCGGATCAGAGTTGCGGAACCCCCCAACACCGAGTAATTCGAGGCGTCTCTCAGCTGCCTGAGCGGAGGAGGTTGTAAGGCTGAAGCTATGGCCGGGCGGGAAGCGGCAGATGATGCAGCTCTTGACGGCGAGCAAGCTCGGGGCAATCAGTAGTTATATAAGCACGCCCTTGGTTGGAAGTGTGGGAAATGGTAAGTCAAGGCTCATCGTAAAGACAGGCGCAACATCCTTCCAAGGGGCTTACGCGCCGCAGTAACTTGGAGCCGGAGATGTTTAGACTTGACTGCTGGAAGCGGAAGAGGGGAATCAACCTTACGCCCGGCGGCCTTCCCATCCAGGCATCCGCCGCTGGTCCTCACGTGATGCCCTGCAGGTGAAACAGCCAAGAGCGGCCGGCTGTCACGTTCTATTGAACAGGGTCATTAATTCTCTTCTATTATATCATAGCTTATCATGCGGAGGATGACGGGCTCGGGAGCTGTTATGTCCGTCGCGATACATGCGCTTTACAATGCAGTCGGGGACGAATACAATCTCGATTCCTAAACTCATAGAACACCGAACTACACAACAGCCCTCAGGAATTGCGAAACCGCGTAGGCGGGGCACGTTCCTGGAAGGGCAAGTATACAAAAATAGTAATAACAAAAGGACAAGGAGGTAGTAGGCCAGATAGAAGAAAGGCTGATGTTAAATGAAAGAAAGTAGGCTTGAAGTCAATCATCCCTAAAAGCCACTGCGAACCAATACAAATTCCTAGATCCTATATCCTATTTGGCAGAGCTGAGATAGCTTCCCGCCGATCCTTTTGTCCTTCCCAGAAGATACATTCTTTCTATCTCAACGCCCGAAAAATTAAAAATCGTTCAGTTCTTGTGGTCGGCTGCTGCCTCAGCTGGGCCCTCCTCGTCGCTGTAAGCAGGAGGAAGGTCATCAGTAGTCTCGACCATCAAGCCCTGCTTCTCAGAAGTAGTGCCTTGCTCCAGTGACTCTTCGCGGTCAGAACGGCGATAGCGCTGCCACAAGAACACGACCACCTGGCCAACCAGCATACCCACAGCACTGGCAGCCAATCCTGCCAGAACGCCCAGCGCAGCCGGGATGACAATAAAGCGGACAACGCGAGAGGCAGTGCGCTCCCAGTTACCGTGAGAGCCATGGTGCATATGGTGGTGGTGGGGGTGGCCAGGACGTCCCATGTGGCCTTCGGCCTGGGGCGGGAACGGCATACCATCTTGGTGGTGGTGAGGAGGACGGGGACGACCGCATTGTGGCTTGGGCCCCATAACACCGAGCATACGGGCTTTGGCGGCAGCGAACAACGCACGAATCCGGTTGAACAGAAGTCTCTTTAGGCACATTGGCTTGCCGCGGCACTGTCTCCAAGAAACACGGTTGGGGGTGTTGTCCTCGATGTCGGTCTTGACGATGTAAAGATTACCCTCAGGGTCGTGGAGGAGGTTGATTGCAACGGTGTTCAGCGGGACAGGGTGGCTGTCCAAGTCGAGGACAGTGAAACGAACAGCAACCAGGTCGACAGGTTCCTCTGGCGGAGAAGGCAGCGGCAGCATCTCGACGGCATATCCCAACGGGATAGGCTCCGACTCCTCATCATCCGATAGACGGCGCTGGACGGCGGTGATGATGGTTGGAGGAGGGGGAGGGAATATCTGACGTCCGTTGGCCAGCAAGGTACCGTCGTCAATCGAGAAGTTTAGAGACTGTCGGGGATCATTAGTGGTTCCGTATGGATTTGGTCGAGAATAACAAGCTCTATACTACGATGGGTGGGGGAGGGGGTCCACTTACCAAGGCGGTTTGGAAACCGTCAGTCCAGCTGACCTTCCCATTTTCGGAGACTTCTTTGAAAGGGCACTCAGTGCAGACGAGATCGACCTTCTGTTGCTGAGAAGCGTGAGATTCAAGAGGATGGAGACCGGCAAATTCAGGTTCAGAGGCGATGGCCTCTACTTCGACTTCCGGAACGACTAGGAAAGCGTTGGCGCCTAGAACGGCGGCGCTCCCGAGAAGGAACGAGCGGAGATGCATGATGTTGGTGGAAGGAGTTAGAAGATGAACATGAGAGTTGGACTGGGATTAAATATGAACCGTTGAATAGAATTAGAAGTTGAATGTAGACAAAGGAGATGACGATGAATGATGATGATGGGAGAATGAGAGAGAGAAAGAAGGGCAGAGAGAGTGAGGGACGAGTCGTAGTAGGGAATGGAAATGGGGGCATAAAGGAAATGTGTATGCCTGAAGATTAAGGGCAGGGCGGCTATGGATTGTTCTGGTTCGCTGGATGAATGTCTGGTGGCGGAGGACGTGACGCAACACGATGTTCCAGGCTTTACTCCTTAGGGATTAGCGCTCTTCCAGAGTTGTTTGACTCCATCTTAAAAATAGACACGGATGTGCAGAATATGAAAGCTTATGCTCTTCAACAGTACTTTGAGTATTCAATATATACAACAACATTAACTTTGTCGTCAACTGAGATACCATGACAACTATCAATACTGAACGTCCCGTCTATCATGACCCTGCGCCAGTTTAAACCCTTTCCGCCGCTTCCGGTCTCTTCTCACTTTCATGGCCTACATACTAGTAGATTGTTAACACGATCAAAATCATGGCGCCAACGCCCGGTTAGATTGGAAGGAATGAAATAGTAAGACACTCCATAGGCGTTTCTAACAATTGCGGCTCGCACTGTGGTTCGTCACGAAAATGCCACGACACGATCTCTCCAACACTACTGCTCCGTGTCCTAGGACTTCCGTGGCTGGGCTACTCAGCCTTGAATGATGATGCTCTTGTCTTGTCATTGGAAGGGTCTGTTCCTCGCTTAAGAGAATAAGCATTTTCTCAGGGATTTAACAAATGGGGTATCCAAAGATGTGCACACCAAGACGACCAGGAGGCCACGTCACCCCAATGCCATCGGATCTATATTGGATCTCTTGCTCATCTCGTAGGCTAACATTTGCATAAATTCGAATTCAGAGTCCCGATTCCTCTGGATTCTCGTTCGTAGGTTTGTCGATTCCTGGTTTGTTTCAAGCAGTTTCTGGTGATTAGTCTCGCCACCGGATCGCATATACCACAAGAGTGCGATGCAAAGCAGAAACAGCCACCATTTGGCTCCAACCCTTGAGACGGATGTTCTCTGCAGATCCTGCCGTTCCATATTACTTTCCTCGCTAGCTGGTTCCTCGGTCACTGGTGCGGTTTCCTCTTTGACATGAACGCGTGGATCTTGAATCGGAACTAGCTCGCCCTTCGCATTGATTCGGAAGCGAGACGATTTGTAGCACATAGACGATATTGACGGCTCTTCTGCTACTATGGCATCACGCATATTCTGGTAACCTGCAAGCTGAAGCGATGGTGAGATTCTGATCCGTTGCAGGTCTATTATGGGCCGGAATCTTGGTATTGATTGTCGCTGTGGAGCTGGTGCTCTGGCCTTCACCGGGAAATATATCACGCCCGTATGCTTTGGTCGAAATGATCTCGAAATGCCAAAGATGCTCATTCCTTCCCCTCTTTTTACCTTATTCACGTTCTCCAAATGATAGTTGGAGTGGCTGTGGGCTTGGACTGGGGCACTGAAATTGACGTGGAGACGCTATCAACGTTGAGTATATTAGCCATCACTTGTGTAAAAATAAAAGGATCTGGAATCCTCTTTATCATGGGGTTCGCCATTGTCTTGCATCCGACCTTTGTCATCCATTGTCCAGGTAGTGCATCACCCTGGTCAGGTTATGGCACTGGTTGCTTCTGTATTAGTTGAATGAGACCATTGTCATGTCTATCAAACATATCACACTGACCTTGCGTTGGCAGGGCGCATGACACAATCGAAGATTCTCTGTGATACTTGAGTAAGCTCCACATCTAGTGTAAAGACATGCGAATCTATGGGCTGACCGACTGGATCCTGTGTGTCATTGAACATGACAGTATCCTGCGGTGCACTGCCATATATATGAAACCAGTTGTTTTGCCCTGCACACTCTTGCTCAGTACTACCCACCTTGTGATACGTCTTGCCATCCACTCACCTATAAATGTGGCCTGCGGTGGCTGGATGTAGCTGGCAAACATCTGCCCCTCCCCTAAATTGGGATGACCCCCTGGTGTTATAGGGATAGAGGGTGGGGGAGTTGTCTCGGGCGGCTCATATTCGCATTCACTCTCCTCTTGTGCCTGCGCATCTGCTCCATTGGCCCCGCAACTAGCCTGGGCCTCAGCGATTATGTGCGAGAAATTTCGCTCCAGGAAAGGATTGAGCCCACAACCAGACCTTTCCCTATGGATCAAGTCATCTAAATCGCGTTCCAAATCAGCCAAACCACGATTTCCAGCTGCAGCCCGAGAAGCAGCACGCCACATAGATTCTCCCCCATCACCAACCTCTGAGACAATATCCATCCTATCAGCCAAAAACTGTCGATAGCTCCTGCAGAGATCCTCCATCTCATCAGCAGCACGACTGATCCGAAACAGTATCTCCCCCAGAATCTCACCTTCTTCGACCAGGAGATACCTCCACGCGCAGACATCCGCAGCCCAGCACGGATTCTCGACCTGCCCGATGCGGCGCCGATACTCGTCGATCATGGCCTGCCTGTCCTCCAACACTGCATTCAAATCATCAACCATATACCCCCGAAAGCGAAGCTGGGCCTCCCAAGCCCTCGTCTTCGCACAAGCGTCGGCCAACAACTCAGTATATCTCATCATCTGCTCTTGGGCCTGCGCGTATGCCTCCTCTGCTGATTGAAAATAGTGCTTCTGGGTCTCGAAAGTCGACTGCGCAACGTACGACATATATTGCGCGAGCTCGTACGCTTGGTCTGCGGCTTCGAGGTCCTGTCTGTAATTTTCGTTCTCGCACAGCAGTTCACTGATTGTCTGTATGAGTTCTTGATTGTTGGCTTCGAGCTTATATCCATCCGTTAGATATTGTTGGAGGTCGATATTTTCGCTCTGCTGGTGGTGGTTGAGATATGTGTCGTTTACAGCCTGTTGCCAGGTATAGTGCGAAAATCCTCCGTGGAAGGACATGGTGAGCGGGAGACTAAATGAAATAGATGGAATGGAAGTAGATCACGGGGAATATAACGAGAGGTAGTATGGAAGTTGCAAGCTTGAACTAGCGAATGTGAAACTAGGTAGTAAGGTGACTGTTAGAGAAAATGAAAGACACAATTGGAGTATGATATTGTGCTACTATCGCTATGCATCAGGTTTAGAACAACAGGGGGGATCATGGAAATAGAAGAGAACATACATGCTTCATTAAAAGGTAATTCGGGGTTTTTATGTCCATCGCTATGGTGGTAGATCGAAAGATTGAGTGAATACGAGTGTCCTAGAGCTACAGTAATCAGGAACATATTTGGCAGCTGCATATAGCAGTGAGCTGTAATTGCTGAAAGAGTAGTGAATGGTTCCATTGTCACTGGTTAGTTGGTTGTGGAAGCTGATGAGCACAGAGACGATGCGTGGCTGATTGTTAGTCAAGGAGGGAATGTTGTGTATGCTCCGTCTTTTAAACAGGATTATATGGACTACAAGTGTAGGAAAATCATGAGGTCAAGAGATACAGTGCACAACCATGTATCAAATTGAATATCTAACCTATTGTTAATTCTATAAAGCAAGTCCACGGAATGCAAATATCAACTCAAAGCTTCGACTTCTGTCCCTTTACATTAGGAACGGCGTCTCCCGTAAGAAGGAAGTCGGGGTATGCCAGAGCTCCGGATGCTGCACCACCAGAAGACATACGCCAGCTTGCACCATCAACTGTAAAAGTCAGCAAGTCGTGGTCTTTTCAATGAAACGTAGGGCACATACCAACTAGTGTTTGACCAGAGACATAGCTTCCGGTATCAGCAAAGAGGTACACCGTGGCATCTGCAATGTCCCGAACAGAGCCAAAGCGTCCCAGGGGCTGCGTCTTGATGTATCCTTCCATAGCATCGGCAGGAACCAACCGATCCACACCCTGATCCAGTTAGTATGAATGTGTTTGTCCATGTCAGTAATAAGGATGTTGAGCCTACCTCTGTCGACGCGATTGGGCCAGGGGCGATGATATTGGACGTCACACCTAGTGGGCCAAACTCAATGGCAACACTGTGAGACAGGGCATCGACGCCAGCTTTCGCTACCGACACATGCGTTTGGAATGGCATGGTCCTGTAATGGATGGTAGCGCTAACGAATATGATGCGTCCACCGGTGCCCAGCGGAGAGGGCTTCACTAGACAACAGTTCAGCATATCTCTTGCGACAGCACAGATAGGTCGTCGAATACTTACGGGACTTAGAGTCAACCTTGTGCTTGTTGGCGGACTCAACCAGGTGCGGAAGGGTTGCTTTCAGGGTGTTGTAAGAACCCAGAACATCAATGTCCATCACAGACTTGAAAGCATTGACCGAGAGCTGGTTGATCGAAGCGAGGAAGTTCCCGGCCGCACCAGCGCTGAACCAGGTTAATTGGAGGAATCAAACAAAGATAAGGTTGCGCTCATACATCACATAATCTATACCGCCCAGCTCCTTGACACATCGGTCTACTGCGTCTTTCAGGCTGTCGAACTTGCGCACATCAACCGCACCGATGCCAATGACCTTGGCACCTGGACGAGCCGTGGCGATGTCCTGAGCTGCTTTCTCGGTTTTCTCCACGTTTCGGCCTATAATGCAGGCATTTGCGCCCAGGTGGACAAGGGCGCGGACCTGGGCACTGCAGATGGTTCCTGCACCACCAGTGCAGAAGACGACCTTGTTTGCTATCCGCGTTCAGCGATATTCACATGTTGCCCCCTTTGAATACAACGTGGCAATACATACTGAAAAGGCCATCCTTCCACGTCTCACTCAAATATTCTGACTTGGCAAGAGGCATTCTGTCTATGAGTGTATTTAGCTGTGGTATGAACGTATGAAGTATGTACAGCAGAGACAGAAGGTTGAAGGCCAGAGAGATGATGTTCTAGTGGACGGAGTAGTCACAACAGGTCTTACTTAATTGGCTTTTGCGGAGAAGCTCCACAGAACGGGGGTTTGCCGCGGTTCGGTCGGAGCCTCGGGAGTGATAACATCAAATCGATTTTATTGTTTAATCAACATTATCTAGTGCAGAGTAGGATGTGTATAAAAAGCTCTTGGCAAGAGACCCCTCTGGATAGCCTCCGATAGGGTATCCATAAGTCTATTTACTGAAATTATCTTATGTTCATGGGGAGATCCGATGTTCGAGATCTGGCTGCATGTATCACGTGCAATTGTAGATATTGCTAACCGTTGTGCTAATCTCAAGATTTACCTAGTGTTTTGAATTCCTGTCTACTGCTTTGAAATAATTCAATTAATAGAATTTACTAGATAAAGCATACCATGATCTGCAATTACAGAGGTAATATACCACATGGATGTACATGGACAACGCCAACCAACACATCCGGCCTAATCCAGACACTCTGATTGGCCGCCTGGGGTTGGGCCACTGTCACGACGTCATGTTTGACAAAACTCCACATGAAGCAAACAATTTAATCTTCTTTTGTTCTTTTCCATTCCTTTCCTCTCATCTGCAATCCCATCGTATATGAGCCACTCTCATCTATCGCAAGGGATCTCCGATCATTTTGATCTCTATTACCACACCCATAGAGCATTCTCCTTCTCAATAGCTCTCTCCCTCCCCATCATGGCCTGTCCACTCACCGTCAGCAAATTCGTGGGCACTGTCTCCCTCGGCCTTCTAACCGTAAGTCCTCCCTTGCACCGACAAAAACAACAAAGAAAACCCCCTCAGAAGACCATGAAACGAGAACCATACTCCCCCAGAACCCCAGCAAGATACCAAAAATTCAGACGGCCAAAAACAAAAATACTAATAACAATCCAGGGCCTCTCCTACTCCGCCTCAACCGTAACCATTCCATCTCTATCCCTCCTGCCCACCTCCGCCAACGCATCCCGCTCCCTCCGCGAAGTAAAGCGCCTGAACCGCAAACATGGGCTCCGTCTAACCAACCTCGCCAATGGCTGCCTCCTCTTCGCATACTGCGCCTCGCCGAAACATCGCAAACACCCCTACCTGATGTGGATGGTCGCCACTTCCATTATGGGCACCTATGGCGCGGACTACTTCTTCCACCGGTCGATGGGCTTCAAGGCGTGGGTCCGGAGTTTCGTCCAGGACGTCGGCTGCGCATCGTTCTGTCGCAAGAACACCCAGAAGAAGGAAGAGGATCTTGTCGTCGTGGAGGCTGAGGAGAATGTGAACGGCGAGAGTGTGCAGCGGGAGATGGATACGGAGCGGAGGTTCCAGTGCGTGCGCGCTGTTTTCTCGGGCCTTGCGCTTGCGATGGGTATTGTTGGACTTTGGGGGGATAGAAAATAGATGGGAAGGGTTTGGTTTGTTTGCATGGCCATTGGGGGTTTTCTTTTTTCATTTGTTAAACTTCTGACTTTGATGGTGGTTTTGTATACCTGGGAAGCGGTGTATCTCCTCTCCGTTTTTTGTTTCTTCTTTGGTTCGCGGCGATAACTCTATAATGTATGTTATGTATATTGACAGCGCAATGACATTGCTGGGACTCAGTGCCGACTGCAGTTTATATATAATATTTCAGAACGTAGGAATCTCAAGAAAGTACACTACTCAAAAGAAGAAAAAGAAAAGAACAAAAATCTAAAATGCTCCTAACCAACGGACCCCGCATCTTTTCGTCTCACTAAAGCTGTCGATAGTATTATCCATAAGATACTAAGTTCCAGCAAGCAAGATACAACCTCATAAATCCGGCATCCAGTAAGCTCCCCATTATATAAGCTCCGCAGTGGAGGTGGGGGTGGGGGCGGAGACGACCAATTCAACCCAACCCCGGAACCAATCAACAAGCACACACCTGAATCCGGCCGATCTATATAACGCATGCATCAGCCCATCTTTCTTCTCTTCCTGCAGCATCATCTGCACTGAAGATTCCTAGAGAAAGTAGGAGGGTTCATATGTCAAGATGTATATCCTACTCCTCCTCCCCGTCCTCATCGTATCCTACCACGTTCTTCATCTTATCTACACTACCTTGACAACAAAATCCCTCCTATCCGTTCCTGGGCCGTTCATCACTCGTCTCACGAAATTATGGTACTTTGATCGTGTCCGACGGGGCCACTTTGAAGAGGATAATGTCCGACTTCATGAGCAGTATGGTCCGGTTGTGCGCATCGCCCCGGACCATTACAGTATTAGTGACCGGGCCGCGGTGAAGTTGGTCTACGGAACGGGGACCAAGTTTACCAAGTCGGCGTGGTACGAGGGGTGGAAGCATCCGAGTCCCGAGCGATGGACGTTATTCCCCGATCGAGATGTTCGGAGACATGGTAGGTTTTCTTTTTTCTGTTTTGGTTGATCTCGTTCTTGCTCTGTAGTTCGCGCGAGAGTATAAAACTGAGGGTTGATATAGCCGAAACAAGGAAGAGATTCTCAGGATTGTATTCGATGAGTTCTTTGGTGCACTATGAGGAATTTGTGGACCACTGCACCGATATCTTCTCCCAACGGTTGACGGAGCACGCGCAGCGCGAAGGAAGTCTCAACCTTGGGCACTGGTTCCAATGTTATGCTTTTGACGTGATTGGGGAGATTACATTCGGCAAGCGATTTGGTGAGTACACATATGTATCTTGGGGTCCGAGATGGTTATGTATTGATAAAATTAGGGTTCTTGGACCAGGGCGACGACATCGAAGGGACCATTGCTGCACTGCAAAAGACCATGGTGTACAGCACTCTGATCGGTATCTACCCGGAATGGCATCCGCGGCTATTTGAACTGCTGAGCCATTTCAGCTGGTCTGGCGCGGGCGGAAGAACGTACATCATGCGGTACGTGCAGGAGAAAATTCGCCGACACAGTCAGCCTGCCAAGCGTGATCCGGAGCAAGGGACGCTGCAGACGCAGGACTTTCTCGAGAAGATGATCCTCGCTCGAGACAAGGATCCAGAGAAGGTCACTGATTATCACTTATTCATGATGGGTTTGTCGAACGTGATTGCCGGTTCAGATACTACCGCTATCAGTCTTTCGGCGATAATGTACCACCTGCTGCACTATCCTGCAGTTTTGGAGAAGCTTCGACGCGAAGTGGATGACTTTACCGCGCAAGGCCGCTGCAGTTCTCGTGTGACATTCAAAGAAAGTCAGGAAATGCCTTACTTCCAGGCCGTCATGAAAGAGGCTCTTCGTATGCACAGTGCCACTGGTCTCCCGCTGTGGAGGGTCGTTCCCGCTGGTGGTGCGGAGATCAGTGGATATTACTTCCCGGAGGGCAGTACAGTAGGAATAAACACTTGGGTGGCTCATTATGACGAAGAGATCTACCCAGATGCAAAGAAATTTCGCCCAGAGCGCTGGATAGAAGCAGAGTCTGATCCAGAAAGGCTGAAAATTATGAATGAGATGTACATGCCGGTAAGATCTCCGTTCCGTCTTCCTCAAGAATAGCGTTGACATCGGATAGTTTGGTCTCGGATCGAGAACGTGTCTTGGAAAACATATCTCCATTCTCGAGATGTCGAAATTGATTCCCCGTCTTATTCGGGACTTCGACTTTGCTACCACAAGCCAAAAGTGGTCTACTGAGAACTATTGGTTTGTCAAGCCAACTGATTTCGTTGTGCAAGTCCGCAGGCGGACATCCAATGTCAAACAAGTCTAGCTGGTATTCTTGCTTAACGGGCGCGTATTATGTGGATGGAGGGGCACTTAGACTCATTCGTCGATACTCCATTATCAATCCATTGACATCCACCATATCTGTATGATCGTATCGAGATAAATCCGTTTGGCTTTTAGGAAGACTTCCCGATTGTACTCTAGCTACGATGATTCGTGCCAAGTGCCAGAATTCGGCCGCGTAGCGTACAAAGCCTATTTTCTTCCAGATAGTGTGTGGATCATCCGGTGTGTATCTGTCTTCAGGAATTCTCTTGTTCCAGATACGTCCCCAGTTTTCCAAGCCAGTCTGAACGGGTGTGAAGGTAGACTCAAAAATAAGTGAGTTCTGAAGACTAAAAATGAGCGCGTGGAGTGCTATACCAAAGAATCTATCAGCTGTGGTTTGAATGTGCATATTCTGGCACTTACATAGTACAATTGTACACATATTCAGAGTTCCCATTCGAGAATATTCTTGCACAAGATGATCATCCAAGCTTCTCTGACAGATTCTTCTTACCACTGCCGACATTGAAAGTCTTTCGCGCCAAAAGATACTATCCTTCCATGCACTCAAGGCCGTAAAGCATTCCGTGGCTGATCTCGCTTGAAAGCATTCTTCTGGGCTGGCCATATCCATTTTCAATTCAGACACCACCATCCGTGGAGGCGAGTTATGCAACATTGTGATTGCCGAGTCAATGCAGAAAACATATAGGAGGGATCTATACAATGTTAACCAGTAGTCTATACACATTGCATATTAGTCTCACCGTATTCGTTCTTCCTCAACTATAAATGTCCGCCACCAAGATTCTGAAGGGTCCTTCAGCTCAAGATCCCGGTGCGACGCAGAGAGGCCAATATTTCTCGCCAGCTTGTTCAAATGTGAGCATGTAAGCTGTTATCGGGGACAGAAGAAGGCTTACCGTGACCATCAGTGCATGCCGGTATCTGCGACTTCTCGTTTGTGCCTCGATGGAGCCCTCTCTCTTTTGTAAAGAACATACTAAGTACGTCATCTGCAGACACTCTACACACCTCTTCTTCCATTCTGTTTGTGCCTCGAGCACAGGCGGTGTGGTTTCCAAGACAGACTTTTCCTGGAATATCTCATTGCTAAAAACCAACTCTTCCACAGTGTCGAGCCACATCCTTGCAAACGACCTATCTCCATCATGGGGGGAGAGACAAGCCCCAATAACTACCATGACACATAATAGAGTCAATGGGGCTGTCTGTGGCTTGAATGATGGTCGGTGTACGATCGGGCAGTTTGGGTACCAGAGGGACCAGAAGTATCCCAAGAAGCGACGTATGTTGTTGGGTGCAAACAGGGTACTGCATGATTCCTGCACTGAGGGGCTCCAGTCCAGCTTAATGATACTTCTGTCCGCTTTCTGAGTAATGAGGGTTTGGAGGTCATGAATAATCTCTTGGGTTCTAAGAAAAAGAAGGTCTGAATCGTCTGATATCATGTGTACCACAGATGGGTCGATCGTATTTTCGGCGGCGCTTCCCCATGAATTAGGAAAGACTTGCCTCCCAGCTGAGTGACAAGTGTCATCCAGGCTCGTTGTATCACGGTCGTATCCATACACTTCAATATGCCGTTCATACTCTAGTAATAGTTTCTGCCATTGTTTAAGCGTGTCCTGGTCTAGGAAAGTCGCTATCCCCTTAGCACTTGTAAAATATGCTAGGAATTCTAGTCTCTCGGCCAGGACTGTACTATCTGGTGTTAGATCTTGAGAGTACAACAGATCGAGGGCTTCGAAATCAGATGAAGCGGGGATCTTGGCTAGACAAGCGTCCTCGTCAGCTACGTCTGGGTCTGCATTTTGAAAAGGAGCTTCGTTGACACTGTGACTAATCTCCTTATTACACACAGGGGCTAGCGTGCCAAGTGCATTGATGGCACTGGTCTGTGCTTTGCATGTTTTCTCATGACGCTTCGTTGCATCTCTGCGACATTAGAGTTATGCGATCAGAAAACAGTGTCCAGTGGACGTACTTTCGTGTAAAGGTTCTCCGACAGAAGGCACATGCGTATGGCCGCTCATTGTCATCTGCGGCTATTAGCCAATTTCATGTTGCTACGGTGGTCTGCATACGTGATCTGAGGTGCCGTCTGAGATGCTCCATCCGAGTAAAGTGAGCAGAACAGACGCTGCACAGCCATTGATGGTTGGACATTGTGAGTACGAACAGCTTCACATGTGATTTGCTTTTCCAAAGAGTATGTTACCCTAAGAGAATAGAGCTAAATAGGAGTAAGACAGTTCTGAACCAGAGCTTGGCAACGATGCGGGAGATCGACCGAAGTCGTAGCCGTCGTCGTGGGATGCGGGGAAACAGCACAGCAGTCGGTTAATCACAACCGATGTGGAGCCGAGTGGCTGGTGGCATCGGTTAACATGTATCATTACATCTTAGTACCCTGGTTATCAAGTGCGCCAGAAGCTAGTTGTTGTGCATAGCGAGCAATATCCGAAAAGTGCCCTGGTGCCCGGATAAGCATAGTATTGTAGTATAATGACCGGTCGAAGTCTGATTAGTACTACGTGTGGTACGAAGACATCATAAGAAAGCCCATGGTTCAGTGGACTTTTACTCAGAAGGCGGTGGCAGAATGAAACAGTGTGTAGAAGCATTCTCATCAATGTCTCTGCGACAGCTGGTGGCAGATAGTACTAAGTATATAGTCGAGCAGTTACGGAGGATGGACCAGAAATCGAAGGGTCCTGATCTGTTATTCCTGGGCTGGAACCATTATAGTATCTCCACTTGCTTCAAAGCGATACCTATTCAATCATTGGGCAACTCGACCTTCGATGGCGGGGCCACATTAAGGAAATGTGGGTCAGACTAACCAGATGGAGGTCAGCTTGCGAGACGGGTTGTTTATAATGCGATACTTCCCATTCGAGGCGGTTACTGTCTCTAAAATGCAAAGGTAGATCTATATTCGTTTATGAGTCGACCAGGTAGTCTCGCTGAGTATGCTAGTAGTCTGCTCAATAGGTCACTACTTCCCATATCCTGTACCTGTTGACGATCAATCCGATATTTAACATAGGACAAACTTCGCCATAACGTCTGCGATCGCATTCAAGAAAATTGTTTAAATTGAACACTTTTGCTGTGTTCAGATCATTATTATGTACACATAATACATTTTAAAACTTCAAGACAGCTTTGCCTTTGTTTTTGCCATAGAAAATGCCCACCAGGCCCTCGGCTGCGTTCTCGATACCGACGGTCTCATGGGTCAGAGCCTTGAAAGTCCCTTCGCTAATCCACTTCTGTACCTTCTTCTGGTGTTCTTCCATGTACGCATCGGCAAAGCCTGGGTTTGCGACAATAAACCCGCGCATTTCAAGACTCTTGGTCACAATCTTGTGTAGGTTCTTAATCGGGTGTGGAGCACTGTTGTACTCAGAAATCATTCCACAGGCAACGATGCGGCCAAATTGATTCAAGGCGTCAATGGCCGCCTCGAGATGTTCACCTCCGACATTCTCATAGTAAATATCCAATCCCTGGGGAGCAAGTCGAGTAAGGGCACTCGCTGGCGTCTCTTTCTTATAGTTGAAGCCGCCATCGAATCCAAGCTCATTCAAGATAAAATCCAACTTCTCATCCGAGCCCACACTGCCAATGACTTTCAAGCCCTCGTGCTTCGCGAGCTGGCCGACGACCTGACCAACAGCGCCACTGGCAGCGGAGATAAAGATCGTTTCACCCTGTTTGGGTTTACCGATCTTATAAAAGGACGAAAATGCTGTGAGACCAGGCATACCAAGGGCACCCAAGAAAACGCTCAGGTCAATCCCCAGGGGATTTTGGAGGAGACGGATTTTGGCAATCGAGCCCTCATTCAGCGAAACAACCTCTTGGATTGGGATCTGGCCAATGACAATGTCTCCCTCTTTGTAGGCAGCATTATTGGAGCGGAGTACCTTGGCGATACCGAAGCTATCAATTGGCTTATCCAACTCAAATGCCGGAATATACGATGTTGTGTCGGCAGGTCTCATGCGACCCCGCATGTAAGGGTCGAAACTAGCATATAAAGACTGTATAACGATACCGTTCTCAACGGGAGCGATGTCCTTATCGTATAAAGCTGGCTGGATGGTCAGATCTTCCCCAGGAACAGGGTATCCCTTGGGGATCTGTTTGAAGATCAAAGCCTTGTTGGAGCTCATGATGTGGTGAAATTCGAAATACAGGGGGATATGGTAAATGGATTTCGATTGAGAAGAGTGATGAGTGTAAGTGATCCGTCGTGGGATTCTCTGTCTTTATATAAAATAATGCCAGGACAACGGCCAGCCCTGGGTGGCTGAAAGACCACCGTAGACATTTCAAACCCACTCATTGAGAGAATTTTCGGAGTGAAGTGAATAGGAGAGGCAAACATTAGTCAGAACATCAACTTGAAGATGTTCACCAATGTTCCAATAGTCTGAGATGGACCCTGATGCTTAGGATGAGTAACCGTGTGCGTGGTGGTAGTGGGTCCTGGCGGAGGATTTGATCTGACCGTTCCCGGCGGCAGGACCCGGTTCATAACCTCCACCACCTCATTAGAGGGCAGTAGGCGGAGTCGGGGCGATATTCAGCGCATGAATAGGCTATCAAGAACTCGATATGTTTATTTTCGTTTATTCATCACCTGGTTCGTTGACTAATTAAACAGAACCGAGAACGCGAGTGGCGTTTAAAAGTTTATTTACTCGAGGCTTTCCAGTGCCAAGATTTGAGAAATGTAACCCACTTCCGAGCTCTGTCGTTAGCTTGCTCGTTCTTTAAAATACTTCATGGTGCCTGCATCTCAAAGGCAGTTCATCTTCTCTGACTTCAATTCGTTTTGTCAAACTATAGTTAAGGATGCTATCGATCAACATCCCTTCCTACTCTGACCCGTCTGGGTACATCCTTTCCGAGCTACCAGCACCGGAAATCACCGACTCGAAAGATGTCCTCATTAAGGTCCATGCCGCCAGTGTGAATCCAGTTGATCTGAAAAAGGCAGAAGGTGTTCTAAAAGCAGCACTCAAAGACACGTATGTACGCTCTTCAAACGAAAGGTGGTCATAACCAACATAAAACAGATTCCCCTACAAGATCGGATATGATTGTGCCGGCATAGTGACCAAAACTGGGCAAAGTGTAACCCGAGTTAAACCTGGAGATGAAGTCTACGTTCGATTGCCAGAGTCACATCGGGGAGCATGGAGTGAATACGCTAAATGTCCGGAAGAATTCATTGCTCTGAAGCCACCATCGCTTTCTTTCGAGAGCGCAGCCGCCATTCCACTGGCAGCGACAACGGCCTTTCAGGCGCTCCAGAAGTACAATGGCGACCTTTCGGGGAAGACTGTATTTGTGCCTGCAGGATGTATGATCCCCTTCTTTTGTTGCCACAAATTGGCGCGCATATCTGACAGCATGCAGTGGGTGGAACCGGTCTATATGCATGCCAACTAGCAAAACATGTTTTCCATGCCGGCAAGGTGATCACGACGGTTTCGACGTCTAAAATCCCGAAAGTAGACGAACTGTTAGGGAAGGGAACCGTTGACCAGAGTAAGACCCCATCCTATCAGCCAGCCTCCACCCACTTATACTACTTGTCATAAAAAGAACAACTGCTGACGTGACTGAAGTAATTGACTATACGAAGTCTGAACCAAAGGACGCTATCCCGCACGGCTCGATTGATTTCCTGTTCGATACTGTTGGCCTGTCCATGGAGTATCTTTGTCTGATGCGGCCGAAGACCAGCCGGATTGTCTCGATCTCAACCTTGCCATCGGGAAATCTGCTACAGAACTCATCAGTCATGCGACTTCCTCATCGCCCGACTCTGCCCTTCATCTATAAACAAGCATTAAATCTGATGGATGCCGCCCGTAAGCTGCGTGCACGACGATACGGTGTGGAGTACTCATATATGTTCCTGGAACCCAGTGGGAAAGACCTGGATCTATTGCGCGAATATGTCGAGAAGGACCAGTTGAAACCTGTGGTTGGAACCACGGCTAATATGTGGGAGATTGAGGAGGTGCGAAAAGCCTGTCAGGTTGTATTCAACAATCGCGGTGGTCTGGGGAAGGTGGTTATTAGAGTTGTCAAGCCTGAAAATCCGCAATAACCTCACCCGCCTGATAGTGGCCATGCTCGGTCCTTCTTTTCGCGCAATTCCTTTTTTGGTCTCTCGTTTGGGGTTATTTATATCCATATCGTACCATATTAATACGTTAAAGAACGTGCTACCTAATCTACATGTTTTGGATCCTGCTCTCATCCTCGCCATCATCAGTAGGGAAGTCCTTGAAACAAACAGTATTCAACATTCTTTTGGGAGTTAACGATAAATCTTGGTCTTTATGCACCATGTACGCACTGCACAGAATCCTGTGTCAATTAGCAGTTCGCAAAGATGAAGACTGCATGGATAGCAATCACATGCTACCTTACTCCTCAGGCTATCATCTATCAGAAGATGGCAATTGGGCTATGGACATCGTCTGGAGATGACCAATATTTGACGTCATGATCGAGATTCAAATAAAAATTAATGGGTTCTTCAGTCTTCAGCAAAGTCCCCACAACGGGGTCTCCGTGGTAGTTGGTACAAGGGTCCAGGCCACTGGCACCTCGCAAGCCACCCCCGATTTGGCTAGGCGAAGCCCCAACCTTGGGGTAGCTTAAGGCCGGCCCAGGGTATAAGTAGTTCAATTGATTACTACTCCACCTCTAACTATTCAACCTAGGTTATCGGGGGAAATAATATGTTCTTCCGAGTTTCCAACAGGAACAAAGAACGTTTATTATATCAAGACCCTAACCCTTTTCTTTCTATGCCCCTCCATACTGTTTAACTCGTTTCATACCCGACATATCCATACCATGGCAAACCCTGCTCACCTGAAAGCGGCCGCATACGGCTCTTTCATCCTAGCCTTTGGACATGCAGTTAGTGACTATCCCACCCAATCCACGAGGCCCAATATATACAGAACAAAAATGGTCTAACAACGACGCAGCTCTCCAGCCGTAAATTCATGAGATTGCGACAATTCCAAGAATTACCCAGTATAGCACGTGTTTGCAGCACCGTGGGATGGTTTCAAGGGAGTGGTTACCTGGTGCTAACTGGTATGCCTTCGCTCTTATACATACAATGTACTCTAACCGACTTGTTTTTAGCCTTGCTTAATCTCCAATGGTCATTGAATCCGCAAGCACTAGATGAGCCCCTGAACCGTGCTATCGCTGGTTTGCTCACTTTGATTGCATGGGGCAGTTCGGTCTCGTATCTTCGGGGAGGGGTGAAGTCAAGTGGACTCATTACAGCGGCTGCAGGAGCGTTCCAGGCTTGGGCAGCTTTCCGTGGATAGAGTGTTGGAATCTGGATGGTAGATGTTGGGGATGATATATGCGGATGTTTTTTCAATGCTGGTTCATGTGCTATATTAGGATAATTCGCGCAACTTATTTGTGTCAGTTTGCAACATAATAGTTCTGATGTTTGCTAGCAGAATCTTGAAGTGTCAATATGAATTGTTGAATATACTGTTAGGGCTATGTGGGCCCTGGGCGAAGGTTATGCCAGAATAGGCGCTCATAGATAGAGCCATAGAGCACTGACTTATCAAGATTGCGACTTTCGAAGTGCCCCAAGGGGTCATTTAACCCCTATTGCCACTCTGCAGGTCTGAGATAGATTCATACGCTAACCTTATCTCCTCACATGATTGAAACTTTACTTGACCCGTGTTTCGTTAAATTCCATATGACGTATGTTTCTAGTAACTCGGGGGAACTAACAGCCCGATCCCGAAACTATTGCCTTCAGTAGATGATGACCTCTAAACTCCCATGTATAGGGTTACACTGGATTTTATAATGAAATTCCATCGATCCACCGCGGCGAGAGGCGAATAAAAATCTTCCAAAATTGAATTGCGTGTTTCCAGGGCAAAAACCATGATCGAACAAGCTTTCTGGAGTGTTCACTAAGCACTCTGATATAAATGCCGGAGCCACCCATGTATTCAGAATGCCTGAAACCATAGGGAATTTGAGAAAATAATAGGTACCACACTCTATTCGGTAAAACAGAGACTCTCACTCTCACTGTGGTACAAATCGAGTCATCCCTGGAAATGACAGAAGATATATGCCTCGTGACAGGTGCGAGTGGCTTCGTTGCCAGCCATGTTGTCCAACAATTACTCGAAAGCGGCTACCAGGTCCGCGCGACGGTTCGCAGTATCAAGAACGAGAAAAAGGTCAAACACCTGCTTGACATGCAGGCCAAATGGCCTGGGAAATTGACTTTGTTTGAGGCAGATCTCCTGAAAGCAGGGTCGTTCGATGTCCCAGCGAAGGGCTGCTCGGTGGTATATCATATTGCCTCGCCCTTTTTTATCGAGAGTCGCATCCGTGACGGCCAGAAAGAGGTGGTTGAACCGGCTCTGAAAGGAACACAACATGTTCTCGATGCGGTCCAGAAGAGTGAAACGATCAAACTGGTCGTCGTCACATCATCCGTAGCGGCGATTTTTGGGGACAACGCAGACGTGCAGAGTATGAAGGATAACACACTCTCCAGCGAGTATTTCAACACTACCAGCACCGTCACACACAATGCCTACTCTTATTCCAAAGTGATTGCGGAAAAGGAGGCGTGGAAATACTACGAAGCACAACCGAGCCCACGGCGCTGGAGATTGGTGACAATCAACCCGGGACTAGTTTTGGGCCCGTCACTCTCTCCCACTTCGGAATCCGGCAGTCTGTCTCTCCTTGACCAGCTGCTCCGCGGCGAATTGTTTTTGGGGGTTCCAGACCTGTGGTTTGCCACTGTCGACGTCCGAGAGGTTGCCACGGCTCACCTTCGAGTAGCACAAAACCCGGATTCGCACGGCCGGTATATCTTGGCCGACAAAGAAATGCACGGTTTTGTGGAGTTGGCTCGCATCCTACGCTCGATTACTCACTCCAGCCGGATTCCAGAGCATAAGCTTCCAAATTCATTGGTACGTTTATGCGGGCCACTGCTCGGCTTAAGCCAAAAGTGGCTGAAATTGAATCTGGGTGTCAAGTTCAATATAGACAATCACGCCAGTTTGGAGGAGTTGAAGATCGTTTACAGGCCTCTGGAGGAGACATTAGCAGACCATTTCCACTCTTGGAGTGCGCAGAGAAATTCGCATTAGGAATGCTGGGTCAGTAATGATGTCATGTTGGGAATGGTTTATGCTAATACCTGTCGCTTTTGTTTGTCTTTTGGAAGTAGACATGGAAGCAACCCTCTCCCACCCTTATGGGTGTCACTGGCTGTCGGCCGCGACGGTCATAACGTTCATGCCCGAGGCTACCTGAGGGACTAATTCAAGCGATTATCACTCCGATGGCGATTACAATAGGTAATGCCTTATGACGTGGGAGAGAATTGTATATATAATAATTACAAGATATGTATATGACAAAATCCGGAAGGTCCAATCCACTAGGATCCCATGTCCTGTCCCTCAAACCATCAACATAGCCCCAACCACCATGGCAAACAGACCCCATTGCTTTATAGTACCCCGAACATGGCCAGCACCATTAGTCTCTCCATCATCGTTACTGCTACTACCATTCTTGCCACTATCATGTTTGACATCTTCATCTACCCAAGGCTGCCCCGGCAAAGTATCATTGCTGGCGGCAATCTCAGCGGGCTTGAGCAAGTCGTTCTCCAACAACTTGCAATCGACCCTATCGTCCGACTTGCTAATAGCGTTTGTAACGTTGACGGGCAAGTCGAAAATCGTATAGTAGTCCGTTCCATCCCACTTGAAGGACTGATGGATCGAGATATTGTACGATCCCCGTGCGGAGCCAGAACCGCCGTTCCCGTCACCCACTAAGCACTCAGGCCAGTTCCAGCTGACTTGCTGGACGTTGGTTGACGGGTTAATCTCCAGGACAGGGCCGACATAGGCGTCGGAGTTGGGTTCCGTGCCATTGGAGATAGTGAAGTTCTTCGAGAGCTCATTCGAAGTAAGGAAGACCGTAATCTCATGGAATTTGGTAGCGTCGGACTGACTGGAGGTCAACCTGCCGTTTCCAGAAACGTCAATGGCTACTTGGAGGCTGTCTATCACAGATTCATATCAGCATATATGCCTGTAAAAGGGGGTAGATGTATCCTTACCTCCTCCGAGCGGAGTATAGGGCTGAGGGGAGTCGACAATCGCGAGCCCGGGAGTATACACCTGCCCGTTGATGATGGTGGCCATTGTATTTTTCTTTTGTTTTCTTTAATGAAGCACATTAACAGGAAACTCTTCCAACAAGTGGTCCCATAACTCAGTCGGTTAGAGTGCTGAGCTAATAACTCAGAAGTCGAGAGTTCGAGCCTCTCTGGGACCATTGATTTCCTTTTTTGGATGGTTGTTCGGATATCTCACCTCGCTTCTTTTTGTCTTCACCCCTTGCTTCGTTCTTCTTCGCTTACACCTTTTCGCTCTCCTCTCTGTCCTATTTGGGATTATGTCGGCTTCTCTTGGTCAATCGCCTAGGATTGAAAGGAAAAAATTGTTGTCAGGTCCCTACCTCCAACCATTGGCAGTGTCCGAGTCTTTATATCAACGCCTGTTAGAGTTGCCAAGTTGTAATTTCCGAATATCCGGTCACTAATTTCTCCACCGCTTGGAATTATATTAACTAGTTAAAACAATACTCTGAAGTCATCAATCACAAGTGCCAGGGGCTACCAGGATAGGCTAGTTGGTTATTTATTGATTCAAGGGATGGATCCGTGGGGATTTTTCGATGCGCAGCGCAGTAGGGTTAATCTCTGACAATAATCAAAATATATATACATTGGCGTTTTCTATTGGACGATAGCCAACACCTTTCTTCAGCATCACCTGCTGTGAGACAAAGTTGACAGCTCATTGTAGAAGGGGCTTGATAAGGTGTCGCACTTAATTGTATCATATTCATGTTTTGCTGTTCAAGTCAAATCCCACAGCGCAACTAGCTCATGCGACTAAACCATGGCCTAAGGCTAAGAGAACACTGGTTGAATTCGCCCAGCAGCCCGATCTGCCAATCTCTCCGGTATCATAACCTTATACGCATGCCGTGCCCATGCACAGCACACCTTTCTCGTGTCTTTAGGATCAATGATCTCCTCGATGCCGAACGCATTCGCTGTGCGCACCGGATTCATCAATCGCCGGTATTCTTCATCTAGTTCCTGGTATCGCTCAGCCTTCCGGCCTTCTTTTTCTGCCTCGCGCAGCTCATGTCGATGGGCAACTTCGATGCCTCCTTCGAGTGGCAGAGATCCCCACTGTCCTGATGGCCAGGCCACTTGCATAACCGGGTCACGGGCGCCTATCATAATACCACCAGCCACACCGTACACTCGTCGAGTGATTACATTGAACATTGGCATTGTAGTCGAGTTGTAGGCCTTGGCTAGCTCAACCCCCCATCGCATTGTCGCAGTGCGCTCGGCAGCGGTTCCGATGGCGTAACCGGCTACGATAACGTTAGCAAGTATGTCACAAAGTAAAACAGCGTAGAAGAGATAATATAGGAGAGAACTTACGAACGTCAATGAACTGCAACACAGGCAGGTTCATCACATCACAAAGCTTCAACAACCTCGTCAATTTCTGGCTTCCAGCTGCGTCGAGTGCTCCGCTGTTTACTTCGCAGTCCAAGGAAACTACTCCAATAGGCCGCCCTCCTAGCCTTGCTAGACCACCGATAGCAGTACGACCCCAGAGGGCGCCAATCTCGAACCACGAGTCGCGATCAACCACGCTAGTGATGATAGTTCGTGGGTTATACATTCTTGCCTGTCGGCGAGGAATAATCTGACGTAGCGCCTCATCCTCACGGTCTTCGGGGTCATCGCTGGCGACGACAGGTGGCGCCTCTCGACCACAGTTAGGCAGAAATCCTAGGACAGTCCGGATCTGCTCGTAGCATTCAACTTCGTTGGCAGCGAGATTATCTATTGTCCCATTGGTGCAGTGTATCAGGGGGCCGCCCAATGACTGGAAGTCCAGCCCCTCTTCAAATGTTGCCCCTTTGACCACCTCGGGGCCTGCATTAAAGAGCGAGCCTACATCTGCAGCCATGACAGAGAAGTGGCAGGAGACGACGCGGGCGGCTCCAAGGCCAATCTATTACCGGGTGAGCCGCGTTCAGCCTAGGAAAAGAGTGGGTAGACTGGAATACATACAGCCGGCCCAACTACGGCTCCCAGATTTGGAATGCCTTGATTCAGCTGATCCACCACATGTTTGTACATTGACACATGGGGCAGGTAACTCCAACCTTCCTTGCGGATGGTAGTGACACTTCCTCCACCTGAGCTGCCATCGACAAGCTTCACGACGGGCAACTTGAGTGCTAAAGCTAGTTTCTCCAAGTAGATTGTCTTTCCTGCAGTGGCGCCATCTGCATGTCCACTCCGAAGAGAGAAGTCATCTGCGGTGAGAAGTACTCGGCGACCACGCAGTTTCCCCATCCCCTGGACATTATTACTCGGCACGAATGAAACGGGCTTCTCCTGCATGGGTCCAGTCTGCTCCCATGTTACTGTGCCGGATAACGAGCCAATCTCTTGGAAGCTATCGCGGTCGAGGAGTTCTTCGAGGCGTTCCCGCACCCAGAGCTTCCCTGCCTGCTTCTGTCGAATGTAGCCACGACGATTGATGTCAGGTGTAGCGGCAATTTTGCGGAGGGTACTGATTTGGGAGCGCACATCCGCATAGTCGGGAGGGAGCCTTTGCGCCGAGAGATGCGCCGAGACCTGGTTGAGTCTTTTGGTCGCTACTGATGACTTGTCCTCCGGCATTGTTATTTATTACCATAAAGTTATTTGATTATCGCCATATAATCATTGGCAGTATCTGTTGTTGTATGTATTTCTCTCCAATCCTTCATGAGGGGTAATGATCTCATTCGCTCCGAGGTCCGAGGGCTGAGCTCCACGCAACAGAAACAATGAATAGCGCTGTATTTGGCCATGGCTAGCCATGCATTTTGTTCAATATAGCTCCAATTGCAAAAATGTGTGCTCAGTCTATCCAGCGGCTCCTGGTCGCAAACAGGTATTTCCCAAAGGTTCATGCTGTATACGAGGATTTTATCTAACAAAGCAGAGGCGAAATCGCTGTCCGTATTCTCCAAGCTGCACGCGAGCTTTCTCCGTCAATTGAGACATTTGCCCTTTATACAGACGATGACCGTTCTCACTGTGACATTGGACGTCCCCACCACGCAGTGCGGGTACCATCTGCTGCAGCCTACTTGGACATTCCGTTGCTCGTTAACCTGAGCCGCGAGCACCAGATTGACTTTGTGCACCCCGGGTATGGCTTCCTTAGCGAGAGTGCAGAATTTGCCAGTCGTTTGCATGATGCTGGAGTTACTGTCATTGGTCCTGGACCTGAGATCCTGATCTGTACAGGAGACAAACTCAAAGCCAAGCAGCTGGCAATACAATGTGAAGTTCCCGTCTTGCCGGCTATGTCAAGCCCCACCTCTGATTTGGTAGAAATACACACGTTTGCGCGGCAGGTTGGGTACCCCATTATGATCAAGGCGGTTGATGGTGGAGGGGGCCGTGGTATCCGCTTAGTACGGCAAGAGGCTGAGCTGGAGCATGCCGTGCGGGCAGCAACTAACGAGTCACCATCGCAGACAGTTTTTGTGGAAAAGGCTGCTGTGGATGGATTTCACCACCTTGAGGTCCAAATCGTGGGTGATGGTATTGACGTGTGTCATCTCTGGGAGCGTGACTGTAGCTTGCAGCGTCGTTTCCAGAAGGTCGTTGAATTTGCTCCGTCGCTTATGCAAAGCCGCGATGTGGTAGAGCAAGTGGTGAACGCCGCCCTTCGTATGGCAAAGGAAATTCGATACCGGTCTCTTGGCACGGTCGAATTTTTAGTTCACGAGCATCGAAGGGAGTTCTATTTCCTCGAGATCAACCCTCGCCTGCAGGTGGAGCATACCATTACTGAGAACATTACCAGTGTGGATTTGGTGCAGACACAGCTACAACTTGCTATGGGATTGTCGCTCGCCCAAGTTGGCTTGCTGAAAGACCACCCGGTACAGCCTCGGGGCCACTCTATCCAACTGCGATTGTGCGCCGAAGACCCGAGTAGGGATTTCCACTTGAGTATAGGTAAAATCACTGAGTTTGTCGTACCGAGTGGTAACGGCGTCCGTATTGACACCCATGTTGATACGTCGGGATCAAGCCCCGTCACGGTTGGAGCAAACTTTGATAACATGCTGGCAAAGATCATCGTCACTGCGTCCAGTTGGGAGGCAACAGTCTCGAAAGCTCGGCGAGTGCTAACCGATACCAAAATATCTGGAGTGCAGACCAATTTGAACCTGTTACGAGGAATCCTTTCCCATGATAACCTTTTGACAGGACAGATCGATACACAATGGCTGGAAAGACATCTTGCACAGGTGATCTCATTTGGAGAGACGATCGCTCAATCTATCCGCCATGAAGCATCTGCACAACCATCTCGTTCGCTCATGATGCCGAGTAGTTCCTCATCCAATCTTCTATTCCGTCCTGGAGATGCATGGTCAATCACCCTAAAGCCCCTAGGGACGGTGGAGCAGCGGCAGCACCACCTCCAACTCACTCGAGTTTTGCAAAATGATTTCCCTACTTCCATGGCCGCAGAGGTCAAATATACCACGCCGTCTTCTTCCATGGCCTATCAGCTGCAGCTGAAAAACACATCTACAACTGCATCTGCTCTAGTTTCATCTTCTCATCGTCGTGGTGATGTGCACAATCCCCGCCATATTGTGCTTCCTCTGTCTGGGAAGTTGATTGAGGTCTTGGTGGCGGCCGGGGACCAGGTGGTGGAGAACCAAGTAGTGGCATTTGTCAAGCAGATGAAGATGGAGCTTGAGGTGCGAAGCCCACGAGGCGGCCGAGTTCAGTGGGTATATCAGATGGATGAAGAGGAAGAAGACGTGGCAGAGGGTATGTTGTTGGTGGAATTAGAGGAAGAAGTCCGGGGAAAGTTGTAGACAATGGGTTGAATTAAGGAACACGGACATATTCTTGAATGACACCAGTTTCTTACCTTCAAACACAGGGATAAAAGCTCCATTGGAATGATATAACCTGAACAAAAGCTGCTCTTAAGATACAATGTGCAAAGCATACAAAATCTCCGATCGTTATCGATAAGGATCCGCCGATCGTCACATGGATGTCCCAAACCTTCAATCCATGGAACTGGTGGAATTGACAACCGTCCCGATCGCCGTTTACCCCAGGCTTCATCTCTACTAGTACCACGACGGATCCCTCCAAATACATATTATTCAATACTCGATCGGACTAAACTTGCGCCTACCATGGAGAGCCTTACCCTCTATATGCTCACTTTCAATTGTGCCCGGAATCCAGTTGACGTCAACCGTTTCGCTCATCATTTCTTCGATGCACTGCCCCTCACCGACAGTTCAAGCGCTTCCACGCCGCCGGACCTCATCGTTCTATCACTCCAAGAAATCGCACCTATTGCATATGCCTTTCTCGGTGGTTCTTTTTTGGCACCGTATTTTGCTTCCCTGAGTGAGGTGGTGGAGCTAGCTGTGGCTAAGCGCTGGGAGACACATTACGTCAATATGGTCACAGACAATAGTGGGATGACGGGGTTGATGGTGTATGCTCGATCCGATGTGGCGGAACGTATATCTTCGATTGATACTGCGCGAGTCGGGTTTGGATTTCAGCAAATGGGCAACAAAGGCGCGGTTGGGGCACGATTGACCTATGCGACGCAGAAAACGCCTGGCGACACAGTGGACCTGACCTTCATTGCTGCCCACCTTGCACCCATGGAGTATGCTGTACGGCAAAGGAACGAGGATTGGCGTAGTATGGTAGAGCGATTAGTGTTTGATCGTGTGACTGCGAGAGCCGGGGAGAATACTGAAACAGGGGACGATTCCGAGAGTACTGCCCTGCTAAGCGGTTCTACACGGAGTTCCAGCGATGATTACCGGGGTATCTTTATTCCTACAAGTTATCTCTTCCTGGCAGGCGACCTCAATTATCGCACGTCTAATGCATCGCCACGAAGCGAGGATTGTGCCCGGTTTCCGCAAGCGGAGGTGGATCCAGCCGACCCCCGTCATTTCTCCCACTTGTTGAAAGAGGATCAGCTCACCCGGGAGATGCAACAGTCTCGAAGCTTCCATGGCCTGTCAGAAGCCCCGATAACCTTCCCCCCGACATACAAATACACAAATGCTGCGCGTCAGGCTGCAGCTCGCGGCGGCGGCTCACAGGAGTGGCTATGGACCAGTACACGCTGGCCTAGTTGGTGTGATCGTGTGTTGTACCTGGAAACTTTGCCTGGTTTGGGCGAGGAAGCACGGGTTAGGCCCTTAAAGTATAACTCTTTGCCGCTGTTTCCGACGTCAGATCATCGCGCTGTCGCACTGTCGGCTTCTGTTCCTGTGCCGCCAAGGCGTTCAGCGGATGCAACGCAGTCAGCAATCCCGTTTCGGATTGACCCAGAATGGGCGAGTAAACGAGACGCCGCACGGAGAAAAGAGCTCGTCGTAGGCTGCCTAGCATATTTGGGCCTGACTTGGGAGGGAAATGGTCTGTTGGTGGCCTCGGTAATTGGAGTACTGGGGGCGTGGCTTGTGCTTCGATCGCTGTTTAATGCCTGAACTTTACGCTGCTTGAGAGCGTACTGACAGTTGCATTAAGATCTTGGCCCGAAACACCCTGCCCCATGTCGATCATTCTTGTTCTCTTACCCAAAAAATGCCATGAACTGTGAAAAATGGGGCAACCAGTTTCACACTCAAACACCGGGGCTGGTATCTACCGTGCCCTGCTGGAATAGTAACAACGCTCTGCAGCCTGCACGACATCTGATACTTGCCGCAGAGCACAGCGGCAGTGCGACTGACTGTCATTGTGTCGAAGCGGCGGTGCATCATCTGTTTCATGATCCCAAGACAGGTGTTCTGTGTCAAGCGTCAGTGCTTCATGGGTCAAACGAGCCCAAAGCTGATCTAGACCGGTCTGGAAACAATGCCAAAGGTCACTAGAAGGAGCGTTGTCGATCGATATGAAGCGGCTCAACACGAAGGAGGATTCTCCACTGAGCCAGCCAAAATATGGTCCGTTTCAACAGAACTTAGATAGCATAAGCACTTGCACTTGAACTTATTTGCAGTGTTGGTCCGTTCCACGCCCACTAGTCGAGTGCTGCCTATCTCACGTCCCAGTTCCCTTCCTTTTTATTTCTCGATGGGCACTGTCAGACCAGCCGATGGATCCCTACCAAAATAAGAACCAAGCGGGCAGGGCTGTTACAGAACCGAATTTTCCGACATCTGCCGGGGCGTTGGCCTGTTCGTGATCTAATAATGTTGGTGGGGACTAAAACGACATTATTTCCTTAGGGTAATTTTGTCTTGTGATTTGTATTGTACCCTCTGGCAGAAGATGATGGCAGTGTTATTATTTCAAACATAGCCATGATGAGTATACCTAGTAGCAGATAGTTGACCCAAAAACGGGAAATAGGAAACGGTGAAAAAAAATTTAATTAATTAATTAATTAAATTAAATTACAAAAGTATTTTTTCTTCGTCCTCTTCTTTTTGAAATATAAAACTTTAAACCCCCAATTAACACTCCTTCGAGCTTGCTTATCCCTTCGCCCTTCCGTCTTCTTTTTTTTCTTTTTTCCTTTTTTCCTTTCTTTTTCCTTTTGCATCTCTCCAAAATCCCTTTTCCACTCCCACTAGGGGCTCCGCTTTTTTCGCTTAGTGAAACCCCTG